AGCCCGACATCCCAGTGGCCTCTTCATAGTCGTGTATGCTGCTACGTTGTGATTCCAGGTTAGCCCTACTCTTATCTGGATGTTCACATCAGAGATTTCTATCTGAGCATCCAGATGCCCTCTCAGCTCCAAGACATTCACCCCAGGCCCTGGGTTCACTCTGGAATTCATAGGCTTCTAAAAATGAGGTATAAAATTTAAGACCAGACCTCAGCCATCAACATCCAGACCATCCTGTAAGTCTTTCCAAATCTCACAGAAAAAGCTCCAATATTTCCCAGTGACCCCAGGATTCCATGTTGGGGTGGCCACAGAAATGGGTCTCTCAGGGCTTTGCCATAGCCTGCAGCCCATCCTTCAGAGGCACACAGAGCACCTCTCGGCTGCTCTAGCTCTGTGGGGTAGCCTCCCCTGGGGTCCCTGGGATGCAGGCCACAGTGCTGGGGTAGACATGGAGGGTCAGTGAGAGGCTGTACTGATCCCTTTCCACAGAGACTCTATTGCCATTTTTCCTTTATTTTTATTATAGAACTTAACATTTCACTCAAAAAAAAAACCCTCTTTTTCTAATCCTTAGTCTTTGTTTCACAGAAAGCCAGTTTTTCTTCTACCACATTTTCCAGGATCAACTTTAAGAAAAATGCAACATCCATTGAAAAAAAGTGAGGTGTATGCATGTGGTTTAATTCCAGATTGCTTTTGGGTTTAAGTGGTATCAAATTTCAGTATATTTCTGTCTTATGTGAAAGAAATATATTACTAAAACGTCAGTGAGCAATAATGTCAGCTGTCAAGCACTAGATTTATTTTTGCAGGATATGGAGTGCAATGAAGTGAGTCAATATGGCGAGGTGTATGTGATCTGTGGGAGTTATGCCATTTAACATAGGAAGTGTATGGGACTTTCCCTCTCTGCACTCCAGCTCTTACTGTACCATTAGAAGATGCAGGATTCTGTTGGTGTGTGAAAAGTACAACCTACATTCAAGCAGAATGGATCTAAAGAAAGCAGCAGTATCTGTTGTACTAGAGAACAGCCCCATGTGTTTCTTAGATGCATTTAAATTCTTAATGCAAATGATGTAGCAATTTGAAAACTTCTCCATGCTAATTGTGTTTAAAATGTCTTGCTTTAAATACCAAAAAAAAAAAAAATGGTGAAGGGGATTTATCTTTTGTTTTGAAGGTTAAATATTATTTTTGCCTTAGATAGCTTTGTAGTAATTTTTCTCCAGACAGTTCAAAACTTTTGAAAAAAAGACATGAATTTTCATTAAAAACCCTTTTCCAATGTTTATTGTATACAAGAATTATGCAATAAAATTTCTTTATAAAAATATTTTCTTCTTTGCTTCCTAAAGACTCCTCTTATTTTCAGCACAGATACATGGACTGCAGTTTGTAGTAGACTGCTCTGTCTGCCTCCTTAACCAGCTGACAAGTCTGCAGTCTGTATAGAGAGCCTTTCATCTGATGCAGTCTTTGGAAGTTGGGTCTCCCACAGTAGGGTCAAGTCCAACTCTCCATACCACAGGCCCTGGGAGAGGTCTCCAGGGATCTGAAAGACTAGAGGAAAGGGAAGCATTTGTAGAATTACTCAACCTTCACCTCACCTCAGCAAAATCTTCAGCAGCATGTGTATGCTGCTGAAATATGGACTTGGGAGTTCCACTATGACAACTCTGTGGGTAAAAATGCAGGAATGATACCATACTGATGCCTTGGCCTCTATTAAAAAAATTGATAGGAAACTTACGAGGGTTGGTCTCTAGGGCAGTATATTAGGAGCTTTCCATTGTTCACAGATGATTTCACCTTTAAAAGCCATCTCTACAGATGAGTTTTGGAATTGTATTATTTGTTGTTGAAATGTTGAGTTGTTTTGTTGATTTATTTACTTTAGGGGGCAGAAGTGGAGTGATAAAGACTTTTGTTCTTCAGCCAGTTTTTTTAAGTCATAATTCTGGAATCTTAAAATTCACAGGCCAGCAACTTTATGTAGTGTGCCTTAGAACACTGCTTTTCATAGTGTAGTCCTCAGGCACTGAGGCATCAGCATCACCTGGGAACTTGCCAGAAATACAAGTTTCCAGGCCTCGTCTTGGACTTCCTTAATCAGAAATTCGGGGCTGGGGCCTTAGCAGTCTGCACTTTAGCAAGACCTCTGTGTGATTCTTGTGCTTATTCAAATTTGAGAACCACTGCCTTGGAACTTTTAGTGAGAAAACTTCAATTACTGTTAATTTTAAAAGCATTTATAGCTGACCCTCAAAAATGGCTTTTTTTTCATCAGTAATTTTCTTTCTACAGGGGTGGGTGGATAGTTTTCCCAAAACATCATGCCTTTTAGCTCTTGTTGTTCCTCACTGCCCATTTATCTTGTCTTGGAGGACTAGCCTGTCCTCATTCACTAGCACCACCTTAAACTATTTGCATTTCTGGGCTGAGCCTGGGCTGCCCAATGGTGCTTCCCAGTGCCTTTTTAGAACCACAGAGTTCATCACAGTAATGTCAAGAATTGGAGAGCAGACCTCAGTGTATAAATTTACATATCACCTTTCCCATCTCTTCCATTTTCTTACACCTCTACCTTTCAACATTATCATCATGGCTTTTTTTTTTAACCATTTAAGAGATTTCTTCAAAGTTGCCATATACCCAAATCTTCAACTCTTTTTTTGTCAAAAAACTGCTTTTGTTACCAAGATCTTGACAACAAAATGACTTTTAGAAGATACTGACATTCAGAAAGTTTGAATTTAAAAACTCCGAGACAGGCTTATTAGCACCCCATACCAGTTTCAAACCCTCGTTGTGCTTTACACAGCAGATCGAAATTTCACCATATTTTGATGTGGGGCCTGAAAAAATGCCCTTTGCTATGGAAGAATATTCTGGCAAGAATGCTTTCCATCCAGTTACTTACAGAGGTCAGTCTTATGGGCCAATCTTGGAGGGATTGGCCTGAAGATGAATGTAAGCTCTAAACGAGGCAGCTCTGACACCCCTTGCCCAAAACACCTGAAAGGCTGTCCTGTGGGTGTAAGGAGCTTTTATGGAACCACCATGTAATAAGACCATAGTGACCTGAAATTTGGGAGCCAAATTATATTCTCCGCCCACATGAGATTTTCCCAATTTGTAGTTGATTACAAAACCATATCAACTTGTCCGGTTATGGATGCCAGGGAGTTTCTTTTCTTTTTTTTTTTCTTCCTTTCCTTTCCGTTCTCTCCCCTCCCCTCCCTCTCCTCCCCTCCCCTCCTCTTCTTTCCTTTCCTTTCCTTCCCTTTCCTTCCTTTACTTTCCTTCTTTCCTTTCTTTCTTTCTTTTTTTGGGGTCTCACTGCTCTGCTGCCCAGGCTGGAGTTCAGTGGTGCGATCTTGGCTCACTGCAACCTCTGCCTCTCAGGTTCAAGTGATCCCCCCGCCTCAGCCTCCCAAGTAGCTGGGATTACAGGCAGCTGGCTGTAATCCCACAATGCCTGGCTAATTTTTGTATTTTTAGTAGAGATGGGATTTCACCATGTTGGCCAGGTTGGTCTTGAATCCCTGACCTCATGTGATCCACCCACCTCAGCCTCCTACAGTGCTGGGATTACAGGTGTGAGCCACCGTGTCCAGCCAAGGAGCCTCATTCTTATTTCAATGTTTTCAGCTCTCCTGCCTGCATAGTCTACCCCGCTATTCCCAGTAAACATATACTCACTCACCCTTATTATCTTGTAGGTTAGGCTGGAACCACACAGATTTTCCAGAATAAGCAGGACAAATCAGTCAGTAATTAATAAAGTGCTTAGTTCAGCACAACCCTGACATGGGCAAGGTATAGATGTGTAAATAACTAGAAAGCAAAGTAAAAGAGGTTATTTGTGTAAAGACAGCCCAGGAGAGAGTCATAATTGTTAAGTTGCAGTTGCCTCAACTTTATTCCCAAGGCGTTCAATCTCACCACCGGTTTCTTTTTACCTTAATAATACTATGGATTGAATAACCTCTAGCAATAAGTCAGGCACTTGATTCATTATTTCTATTGTGAGGTAGGTACTCTTATCCCCATTTTACAGATGATTGTGCTAACAGCTCAAAACAGTTAAGACAAATCACATAGCTAGTCCATGGCCAAGCTCAAATTGAAATCCAAGTTCCTGTGACTTCAAACACTGTGCCCCTAACTCCACTTTTGGCTGCCTCCCATGTAGGACACTCGCTACTTGGACAGTTTTCAGCTGTGGTAGGTTTGACCCTGGGAGGAAAAATGTATATATCATTTCTTCATTTCTTATTTGTTTCAAGTTAACTGCAATTCGCTCTTCCAAAATACATTCTGCAGTGTGTGCAATTTCAGAGGGACCTAATTAAGCCTTAGTATGTCTTGATTTTCTTACACTTTGGTGACAGAGAGTTTCATAGTTTTCCTCAAAGGGCTAACTTTAACACTCCTAATAATTCTTTTTTCAAGAAAATTAAAACAATGTTTTTATTTCAATCGCTTTTGGAGTGCAAGTGGTTTTTGGTAACACAGATGAGTTCTATAGTGGCAGATTCTGAGATTGTAGTGCACCCATTACCCAAGTAACACTCCCAAGATTCTAACTATCATAACAAAAAAAAGTCCTATTCTGGATTCACATGGTGGAAAAAAAAAAAAAGAATAGAGGTGATACTAAAGGTGCATTTAACCAAAATACTCAGTTTCTGGCATAGCTGATCCAGCTCATCTTTTCGCATCCAGAAAGATAGAAAGCCCAGGTGGTGGGGGTGGGGTGTCTTTACCAATGTCACTAAGTCAGACTCTGCCGTGCGAGGGCGAAGGAGGATGACAGGTTCCTGAGAGCTCTCACCACTCTCAGAGCATGTCTACAGGACACCTGATGGGCCTATCCCAGGAACTGACTGAATAAAGAGGTTCGTTTCTGTTTGATTACAATTCATGACAGATTGATAACTGCAGAGGCATTCATACTTGGGGTTTTGCCCCCCTTCTCTTTAACACCACAGCTTATAAGGCTACTCAGGCATCTGGTGTTTGTTAGATGGCTGTGTTGCATCATCCTTATGATTGCTGGGGAACATCTCCTAGCATTCGAGCGATTGAAAGAAAGACTATGGGGCACAAAATGGCCTCATCCGGTTTACATCTTCATTGCTGCGCTTCTCATATACCTGCTTACATCTGGAAAAAATCTCCAGGTAAACCTCTTGGGTTCTTTCTCTAAAGAGTAACTGCAATTATTAGGGCTATACCCAAATTCAGCTTAGAATAGGTATGTGGCTGAACTTCAGCCAAAACCCTGTGCCTGTCTAAAAGAGATTTTCTTTTTTTATATCCAATTACATAGGAGGGGGCTTTTCCCCACACATGGTCAGTGGGGTTCCTGATTCTTTATGCCCAAGTCTTCCATTTACGTCCTTAGGGAAAAGGCAGGGAAACTTTAGGGAAGAAACAGAGATCTCTTCAAATCTCCTTAGTGTTTTTTCTTCACTACCAAACCCCAGAATTCTAATATGGATTGCAGATCATGCCAAAATTTTACAAATGCTAAATCTTCATCCCACTAGGTTCTATCACAAACTTTACCTTACTAACAGCATCAAGACCAAACAAAGAACAACAATAAAAACTGCAAGCAAAACCAACTACCATCTCTATTTCCAGCCTATCCCTCTGATATGTGGAGTTCATACATTCAGCATGATTTATTGAGCACATACTAGGGTGCCAGGTACCACACTTGGCACAGGAAACCCCAAACCGAATAAAACTCCCTGTGCAGTGCAATTAGCTGGAAAAACAGAAATGCAGCTAATTATGCATAATACTGGCATGTTGCATAGGGTTATGCAGAAGTGTAAATAAAATGTAATGAAAACTCAACTGGGAGAAGGATGAATTATCCTCCCCTAGAAAAGTGATGAAGCAGGGAGAGTGGCAGTCAAGGAAGGCTTCACTTAGAGATGAAAGTGCAGCTGGGTCTTGAAAAATATGTAGTCTTTCACATAGAAGAGAAGAAAACAAGGTGGTTCAGAGAAAGAGTTGAGGTGAGATCTGTAACTTTTTCAAACACATTTCTGTTTATTTTGAGAAGTAGTGGTTGTCTAAGATCATCTCAGAAGTATTGTTTTTCATTTGCTTCACCCCCTCTCCTTTTTAAGGCATTCATGTATATGTATATGTATATGATGTATATGTATATTTATATGTATATATACAGGCACATCTCATCTTACTGTGCTTCACTTTGTTGTTCTCCGCAGATCCTGCATTTTTTACAAATTGAAGATTTATGGCAACCCTGCATTAAACAAGTTTTTGGTGCCATTTTTCCAGCAGCATGTGCTCACTTCATGTCTCTGTGTCGCTTTTTGGTGATTCTTGGTATATTTCAAACTTTTTAATGATTATTATTACATCAGTTATGGCAATATGTGATTTAGTAATCTTTGCTGTTACTCTCATAGTTGTCTTAGGGCATCACCAACTGAGCCTATATAAATGGCAAACTTAATAAATGTTGTGTGTGTTCTGACTGCTCCAACAACCAGTCATTTTTTTTATCTCTCTCCCTCTCCTTGGGCATCCGTATTTCTTGAGACAGAACGATATTTCTTATTAAGAAAATAATATTTTTGGTTGGATGCAGTGGCTCATGCCTGTAATCCCAGTACTTTGGGAGGCTGAGGCAGGAGGGCTGAGACCAGGAGTTCAAGACCAGCCTAGCCAAGATGGTGAACCCTTGTCTCTACCAGGAAATACAAAAATTAGCCAGGTGTAGTGGCGCATGCCTGTAGTCCCAACTACTCAGGAAACTGAGGCAGGAAAATTGCTTGAACCCAGGAGGCAGAGATTGCAATGAGCCAAGATCACACCATGCACTCCAGCCTGGGTGACAGAGAAAGACTCTGAAAAAAAAAAAAAAAAAGGAAAAGGAAGAAGAAAAGAAAGAAAAAGAGAATGAAAATGAATATTTTCTCATTTTTCAAAGAATATTAATGATAATTTAAAATGTTTTATTTCTCCACTCTGCACTGTTTCTCTGAGTTCCAACCCACTTCCCACCTCTCCCACCACAGATTCCATTCTCTATGTCCTAAATGTTTCCAATAAATGTGTATGTGCAGGCATGCACATATCATGCACACATGCATAAATGCATGCACACATTTCTTCTTGCTTTCTCTTCCAAATGTTAGTTTTGCTATACATTTCTGGTGCACAGAACACTCTGCTTGGCACTTAGTACATATTAATTCATTTAATCCTGAATACTATCCTCCAAGGCAATTATAAATTTCTCTATTTTATAAAATCTGAGGTCCAGAAATGTGAGATAACTTGCCCCAAATCACAGAGCTAACGAGGTCTTATCAACTATACAGCCCCTTGCTTTTCCTTCACTAAAACTTTCTTCTTGAGAAGATAGCAACTCAAAAGCTAGTAATGTTAAGACAGAAATTATATAGCTAGTTCACTGGTCTCCATTCACAGATGAGAAAACAGGAAAAAGTGACTGGCCTAAGGTCCCATGCTGGGTGGTCATAATTTTATGTATTAGCTCTTCACTGTAAGAATTCCATAGGGAAAAATAGGCAGGTTGAAAATGAATAAAAGAATAGACATAGCATACACAATTTTACAATCTAACCTAAATTTCCTTCGTTTGGCCTTGAGGTTGAACCACAAGTGGTACCTCCCTTATACCCAGGCAAGATGGTCCTGCTCTGGGCTTTGGAAGCCCCAGCATATCACAAATAATTGTGCATTTTGGTCTCTTGGAATCTGATGCTGAGTGTTTGACAACACGACTGTCACCACAAATGAATTCTGTTCTCATGACTTGTTCAGGACCCAGGATATATATTCTCCATATTTTTTGCCCTTTGTTGTTAACAATGACTGATGGTTCAAATGCTGTGAGGGTCTGTGCTTCCTTCTGCTTCTGAGACTGAAGATGACACGGCATCTGAGTGAAGGAAGGATTGAGTAAGCAGCGCCCAGGTTAGGGAGAACACAATTTTCACTAATTTGTCAACTCCTTCTTTCTCGGCATGAATGTAATAGATTGTGCATTTATAATCTATTGATTATGACTAACAAAAAATCATTTTCGTAGCCTTGAGGGTCCATTTACTTGCCTCATTTTGTGTCCTAAAAGGTGGTTCAGGAAATGCTTAAAAATATTTGTGTATTCACAACAGTTGCACATGGTGGCTGAGGAATATTTTATGCCATTAAACAATGCATATTTCTGTCAAATTTGTATATATTTTGTCTTCACTTGAAATGCACAAAGCAAAACACTAATTCTTTACATTGGCAATTAATTGGCACTATATTAGCTAAAATTGGTTATAGCTAATACAATGAATAAAATTAGTTTTACTTTTAGTAAAGTGTTGAATAAGGTTTAATTAAGATTTTCAAAAAGTTACTCAACATCATTCACCATCAGAGAATTGCCAATCAAAACCACAATGAGAGATCACCTCGCACCTCTCAGCATGGCCATTATCAAACAAGACAAAACAACAGATAACAGTGTTGCTGAGGATGTGGAGAAACTGGAATCCTTGTGCACTGTTGGTGAAATGTAAAACGATGTAGCCCCTATGGAAAACACTATGGGGGTTTCTGAAATAAACATAGAACTACCATATGATCCAGCAATCTCACTTCTGGGTTTACATATAAATAAATTGAAATAACGATCTGCACTTCCATGTTTATCGCAGCATTATTCACAATAGCGAAGACATAGAAGCAACCTAAATATCTATCAGTGAATAAATGAATAAAGAAAGTGTGGTATATACATACAATAGAATATTATTCAAAGGGAAATCCTGCCATATGCAACAACGTGAATGAACCTGGAGAGCATTATGCTAAGTGTAAAATAAGCGAATCACAAAAGGACAAATAGTGCATGATCCCACTTATGTGAGGTCTCTAAAACAATCAAGTTCATAGAAGCAGACAGAAGAATGGTGATTGCCAAGGATAGGGAGTGAAGGTGGGGAATAGGGACTTGTTAAATGGGTATAAAGTTTCAGTTATACAAGATAAATGAGTTCTAGAGATCTGCTGTATAGCACAGTGCCCATAGTTAACAATACTGTACTGTGTATTTAAAATATGTTAAGAATGTAGACCTCACATGAAGTGTTCTAACCACAAAATCAAAAAACAAGCAAAATAGAAAATGAATAAAAGGGCACAAGGAAACTTCGAAAGGTAATGCCTTGATTCTGGTGATGATTTCCTGGGCATGTGCATATGTCTGAGCTCATCCAATTGTATATATTACATACGTGCAGTTTTTTGCATATCATTTATACCTCCATAAAGTTTTTTTTTTTAGTTTTTAGATTTTTTAGAGATGGAATCTCACTATGTTGCCTAGGATGGAGTACAGTGGCTCTACATAGGTGCAACCACAATGTACTGCAGCCCTCAACTCCTGTGCTTATGTGATCCTCCTGACTCAGTCTCCCAAGTAGCTAGGATTACAGGTGTGTGCCATGGCATCTGGCTTAAGAAAAATTGCTTTTAAAAAGATTTTTGGCCAGGCCACAGTGGCTTATGCCTGTAATCCCAGCACTTTGGGAGGCCGAGCAGGGTGGATCACAAGTTCAGGAGATCAAGACCATCCTGGTTAACACGGTGAAACTCCCGGTCTCTACTAAAAATACAAAGAATTAGCTAGGCATGGTGACATGTGCCTGTAGTCTCAGCTACTTGGGAGGCTGAGGCAGGAGAATCACTTGAACCTGGAAGGTGGAGGTTGCAGTGAGCCAAGATCATGCCACTATGCTCCAGTTTGGGTGACAGATCAAGACTCCATCGGAAAAGAAAAAAAAAGATTTTCCAAAAGTTAGATAAAAATCCAGCTTTTCTTAAATCAGTATGATTGAAAACTTTATTATCAATTATAATTTATATTTTGCTTTTTAAATTTAAGAGATAATGTTCAGTGTTATTGATGACAACTTTTGAATTTATAAATTAAAAGTAATTTGAATTATATTTAACATTTACTTTAATATACATTTTGATGAAAAAATGTCCAAATTTTATATATGTTGAACATGGTTTTACTTATATTTTAACTCTTCATATCATTACTATCGATTGAACATAGATTTTACTTAAAGGTAAAGACCATCAATTTTATGAAATTCATGCATAATAAATTATGAATTATGTATGTTTTCATTTTATTATGTACCTTAATATCATTGACCCTCAATAGAATACCCATACCTGACCAATAACAAAAAAATTTACTCTTTTGATTTGTACTGACTTTTCATCATATAAAAACCATATATTTACCCGTATTTTAACATTTTGTTCTTATGAAGCAATATTTGTTAAACATTATGGAAATAAATTTGTGAAACAGAAAAAATATTATACATAAGAGTCTGTGAGCTTAATTTAAAACTTTAAAATATTTATATAAAAGGTATAAGTGCCTCTATTTGTAATCTTGCTTCAGGGCCTGCAAAAAGGTCACTGGCAGATCTGACCACAGCTCTCTTTCACTTAGGGTCCATGCAACCAATGAAGAGCTTTGTTCTTACCAGATGTCTTGTCTTTTGCCACTGTGACATTGATTGGCTCTCTGGCAGGTATCAAATCAATGTTCCTTCAATTCTCCTTGAATTGTAAATTAGTACTCATATTTTTCTCTCTAAATCAGTGGTCTTTCTTTTTAAGAGGCTGTTTTAGTGGCAACAGGAAAAGCTTCACAATGCTGTCATCACATCTTTCCCCTTTAAATCAGTGAGATGAAGAAAATGGATTAAAATAAAGTGCTTTGTGTGGGTATATACCCAAAGAAATTGAAATCAATATGTGGAAGAAATATCTGCATTTCCATGTTCATTTCAACATTATTCAAAATAGCCAAGATATGGAAGCAACCAAGTGTTTGTTAGTGGATGAATAAATGCAGAAAATGTGGAATATATATACACAATGGAATACTATACAGCCTTTAAAAAGAAGGAAATCCTGCCATTTACAACATGGATAAACCTGGAGGACGTTATGCTAAGTGAATTAATCTATACACAGAAAAACAAATACTGTATTTCACTTATATGAAGAATCTAAAAAAGTTGATCT